TATCAGGATGCAACAACTTGTTCACTAATCTTCCGGTTGATGTTGCTGCTGCAAAGTTTGCAGATGATGGTTCATACTGGAGACGATTTGGAAACTTTCAGTTTGTTACAGAATCAATATAAAAATCTTTAGCTAATCACAGTTAATGCCCGGTGTTCAAAATGGGGTTTCAAAATACCCCTTTTATAATCAGTAGCAATGATGGTCACTCATCGTAGAATTCCTTCAAAGGTTGAGTTATATCTTGGGGACTATAACCTTGATGTTGTATCCTGGGGGATATCTTCATCATAGACTTACTTGGTCAAGTCATATATCCTATCTTTGCAGCCGTTGTAACAGTATTATCAATTGAAAGGCGTATGTCCAAAACTCATTGGGGAGCTGATAAATCTACCAAGTTATTCCTATATAATGCACTTATCCTGTAATGACTTGACTATGGCTGCCAAGGCTTCATGTCTGCTTTTAAAGCAACCCCATCAAACTTGATCGCATTCAGCCTAGAGCACTTAAGCATTTTCAACTCCTGTCTCAGCTCTTCAGGTTGAGTGTTCTGATATGCCATTGGTCCTTCGACGTCCACATATATCACTTAAATACTTTCTGAAGATGAAGACTATGAACATTCAGAAATAGGCAGCACAACATGGAGTAGGTAACTTGAATCCAGTTGGATCCATCCACACTTTCTAAAGCTGTTCCTTGGCTTCTCCTTAAGCAAGGATTGTGTTGTGAACGCAAGTCTATTATTAAGAAGAATATGAGTCCAAGTATAGTGAGAACAATTTCTGAGGATTTTATACATGAATGTTTTGCAGACTTTATTCACATTTAAACTGACGCCTCCAAGGATTCTTCCATGGTTCGTACTTCTGGGACTTTCTCGATCCATGATTTTACTTTCTCCGACGTGATCAGGCTTCCTGATTACATATTAGTATTTGCAGCAAACTACAAGCGCTGACATGGATGGATAAATATGACCATGAAACAATCATTTTAACTGATTCGTTGGCAGCCATGAAGGCAATCGTGTCTATTTGTATACGAAAATTTGAAACTGGACACATACATATACCTCATGTGATATTGTATGGGTTCCAACTCATTTCGTTTTGCTGGTGTAATGAAATAGCATATAATCTTGCTTGGTGAGAATTGCTGCAGGATGAGGTTGATAATTCTGAATTCAGGCCTTGCAAAACAAGTCGGTCTCCATACAATGGCAACATTTGTTGGATGTTGGTTCTCCTGGACGACATTTGCACAGATTACGCTCATCAGTTAAACACAATTGTAAAGAGACGTGATGAAGTCGTTTTAACCAGACTTCGTCTTGGTCACTGTGCACAAAGTTTGTGGACAAAACATCATGCCCTTCTTGCCGCCGTCTTCACGTGTCTGCTCTGAATATTTCAACCATGGACAGTTTTGTTGCCACTTTGTGTCAAATTGTGTCTTGTGGCCAGCATCTTTCTTCTTTTTTCCTAGTTGTGCTCTTGAGTTTTCAAAGCAAACTACCTCTGATTCGTCTAGCCTTGACAAAGTGAAAATTCCATATTCAAATTATATTTCCGAGTTACCATATTTCAGAGTAAACAAGATAGCGGCGCAGAATCTCGGCACATAAACACACACAAATACATCACATGAGTTCAGAAGATCAAATTCTTTGATTCATGAATGTTTGCATTAGATGAGATGTTGAAAGAACTGAAACCACGGCATAACATTTATTACGAACATAAAGGCACATACCGGTTTGTAGTGAAGACATCTGGAAGTCGGCGACATTTTCTTCCTTCAGCCTTCACCGCTTCTTCTCTTTTTCTCTTGGTTCTCTCCCTGGTTGGCAATGTGATTCGAAACACAAATTAAACCAGAAAGAGAGATTGGCGATTTTACGTGCGCATTCTGACTTTATGCGTATTTCGCACGACTGGACATTGGCATGATTTAATAACAAACTTCTTATTCATTATTAAAACAATCTGGCGACTTCAGGAAAGTTGGCCCAGTCGTCTATGGCGATTCTTTTTGTAGAGTTGCGTCCCTTGGGCACGCCAGAAACCTATGATTGTGGGTTCGAATCCCGGGTCGCCCCAATTATGTTTTTAGGTTTGTCAGCACCATACCCATGCTCGCGGGTTTCGCCGAAGAGGAAAACGTCTGAGAACCTGCATCAATTCGGGCTTTCCTCAAACATTAAGCTGACACGCCGTGATGTTTCTGGAATACTGTTCAAAGCGGCGTTAAACCGAACTCACTCACTCATTATCGGTAAGTGACGGTAACACAAGTAAATGCCTTCCAGTTTACGTCAAACAAAACAGAGAAAATGGTGTGATTGATCAGCTATAGATATATCGTGTGTAGTTTGTCGCAAGGCATGAGGTAAGTTGAGAGTAATCAGAAGGTAGTCTACATAATATTGAACTTTCTTATAAAAAGTTTCGAGATAAGCGTGATTGAACAGTTGAAGGTTGTTCCGTAGTCAGCTCTCCTTCAGCTCGTTAGCAACTAGCCTCGTGGAGATTTAGGGCCAGAATTGGTCCTTAGTTCGCCATAATAATATATTGACATCTCGGGATTAACCCGATAAGGAGGAACAACTCACGTGCATTTACATTAACCTAATTTGGTAAGCTCATATTCATCTGTCCATTTTATTCCCCCCCCCCCCCCCCCCCCCAACCCCCATTTACCCACACCCCCACCCCCCTCATATCCATTCGCGATAGGGGAGCCACGAATGGCATTTCAATCAGAAAACGAACAGTAGTGAGTGTGTTTCATGCCACTTTGAACATTATTCAAGTTTTATCACGTCGTGTCAGCTTGTGTGAGGAAAACCCGAGCTGATGCAGCTCTTAAACTGAAAACGAACATATAGAGGGACACACGACCAACATTACAAAGCGAACAGTCTAATTCTTAAAACTGCCTGAATCCAAACGTTACGCCCTATCACATCAATGTTAAAGGTGCTATCAAATATAGGAGACAAAACCACAATACCTTCGTATGGAGTGATCAATATAAGACTACTCAATATAACAGACAACAAAAACAACAATAGCACCCTATCATCAAATAAGATATCGACATGTTCTCGTTTCATGTTGGCAAGGACAGAACTTGTTATACCTTTCTTGAGTTTTGCTGAATCATGCAACATAAGTACATGTTCCTGCAGTGTCTTCACACAAGACCACCATCAAGACGTAATTGTCAACTGGCTATGGACTCGCTATCTTTATGTGTTTTTCTTTTCCTGTTTGGCCAAATTAGACCTGGTATGTATGTTACCTTCAGTACCAAAGTATTTAGTGTAATGATTACATTACTGATTCATTTCATTGTGTTCGACTTTGGAGTTCGACTGATTTTCCCATTTTCGGCTTTGAAAGCAATAAAAATGTAATCCTCGCATTTGTTCGTACCAAACTTGTGACGTACTGGTAGTGACGTCCCCTCACCAGTCTGTACAAACATGTCAAGTACTGGTGGTTACGTCCCCTCACCAGTCTGTACAAACATGTCAAGTACTGGTGGTTACGTCCCCTCACCAGTCTGTACAAACATGTCAAGTACTGGTGGTTACGTCCCCTCACCTGTCTGTACACACCTGTCAAGTATTAGTGGCTACGTTCCCTCTCCTGTATGTACAAACATGTCAAGTACTGATGGTTTCGTCCCCTCTCCTGTCTGTACAAACATGTCAAGTACTGATGGTTACATCCCCTCACCTGTCTGTACAAACATGTCAAGTATTGATGGTTACGTCCCCTCTCCTGTCTGTACAAACATGGCAAGTGCTAAAACTGCTGTACTATCTTTAATCCTTACCAAGAATGACATGTCCTGATAGTTCACTTATCATTCACATCAGTGCTATTTAATATATGTTCTGTAATTCTCAATTCACAGGGTATGGAGGACTGCTGGACATCTCTCCAAATATATTAAAAGAAGGTCAGAATATTGTATTTGTGCTGTCCATGTGCATCTGTTCAATAGTAGAGGTAGCACGGGTGGCCCAGTGGTTTGTACATGTCCCTGTACAGTATGACCATATCCTGTACCTGCCATGACCTGCTGGGCGTGGGTTCATGTCAAGTACAAACATGTCAAGTACTAGTGGTTACGTTCCCTCTCCTGTCTGTACAAACATGTCAAGTACTGGTGGTTACGTCCCCTCACCTGTCTGTACATACATGTCAAGTACTGGTGGTTACGTCCCCTCACCTGTCTGTACAAACATGTCAAGTACTGATGGTTACGTCCCCTCTCCTGTCTGTACAAACATGTCAAGTACTAGTGGTTATGTCCTCTCACCTGTCTGTACAAACATGTCAAGTATTGATGGTTACGTCCCCTCTCCTGTCTGTACAAACATGTCAAGTATTGATGGTTACGTCCCCCCTCCTGTCTGTACAAACATGTCAAGTATTGATGGTTACGTCCCCTCACCTGTCTGTACAAACATGTCAAGTACTGATGGTTACGTCCCCTCTCCTGTCTGTACAAACATGTCAAGTAATAGTGGTTACGTCCCCTCACCTGTCTGTACAAACATGTCAAGTATTGATGGTTACGTCCCCTCACCTGTCTGTACAAACATGTCAAGTATTGATGGTTACGTCCCCTCTACTGTCTGTACAAACATGTCACGTACTTGTGGTTACGTCCCCTCACCTGTCTGTACAAACATGTCAAGTACTGATGGTTACGTCCCCTTACCTGTCTTTACAAACATGTCAAGTATTGATGGTTATGTCCCCTCACCTGTCTGTACAAACATGTCAAGTACTGATGGTTACGTCCCCTCTCCTGAATGTACAAACATGTCAAGTATTGATGGTTACGTCCCCTCACCTGTCTGTACAAACATGTCAAGTATTGATGGTTACGTCCCCTCTCCTGTCTGTACAAACATGTCAAGTCCTGATGGTTACATCCCCTCTCCTGTCTGTACAAACATGTCAAGTACTGATGGTTACGTCCCCTTACCTGTCTTTACAAACATGTCAAGTATTGATGGTTACGTCCCCTCACCTGTCTGTACAAACATGTCAAGTACTGATGGTTACGTCCCCTCTCCTGTCTTTACAAACATGTCAAGTATTGATGGTTACGTCCCCTCACCTGTCTGTACAAACATGTCAAGTACTGATGGTTACGTCCCCTCTCCTGTCTGTACAAACATGTCAAGTACTGATGGTTACGTCCCCTCACCTGTCTGTACAAACATGTCAAGTATTGATGGTTACGTCCCCTCTCCTGTCTGTACAAACATGTCAAGTATTGATGGTTACGTCCCCTCACCTCTCTGTACAAACATGTCAAGTATTGATGGTTACGTCCCCCCTCCTGTCTGTACAAACATGTCAAGTATTGATGGTTACGTCCCCTCACCTGTCTGTACAAACATGTCAAGTACTGATGGTTACGTCCCCTCTCCTGTCTGTACAAACATGTCAAGTATTGATGGTTACGTCCCCTCTCCTGTCTGTACAAACATGTCAAGTATTGATGGTTACGTCCCCTCACCTGTCTGTACAAACATGTCAAGTATTGATGGTTACGTCCCCTCTCCTGTCTGTACAAACATGTCAAGTACTGATGGTTACGTCCCCTCACCTGTCTGTACAAACATGTCAAGTATTGATGGTTACTTCCCCTCACCTGTCTGTACAAACATGTCAAGTTTTGATGGTTACGTCCCCTCACCTGTCTGTACAAACATGTCAAGTACTGATGGTTACGTCCCCTCTCCTGAATGTACAAACATGTCAAGTATTGATGGTTACGTCCCCTCACCTGTCTGTACAAACATGTCAAGTACTGATGGTTACGTCCCCTCTCCTGTCTGTACAAACATGTCAAGTATTGATGGTTACGTCCCCTCTCCTGTCTGTACAAACATGTCAAGTACTGATGGTTACATCCCCTCTCCTGTCTGTACAAACATGTCAAGTACTGATGGTTACGTCCCCTTACCTGTCTTTACAAACATGTCAAGTATTGATGGTTACGTCCCCTCACCTGTCTGTACGAACATGTCAAGTACTGATGGTTACGTCCCCTCTCCTGTCTTTACAAACATGTCAAGTATTGATGGTTACGTCCCCTCACCTGTCTGTACAAACATGTCAAGTACTGATGGTTACGTCCCCTCTCCTGTCTGTACAAACATGTCAAGTACTGATGGTTACGTCCCCTCACCTGTCTGTACAAACATGTCAAGTATTGATGGTTACGTCCCCTCTCCTGTCTGTACAAACATGTCAAGTATTGATGGTTACGTCCCCTCACCTCTCTGTACAAACATGTCAAGTATTGATGGTTACGTCCCCCCACCTGTCTGTACAAACATGTCAAGTATTGATGGTTACGTCCCCTCACCTGTCTGTACAAACATGTCAAGTACTGATGGTTACGTCCCCTCTCCTGTCTGTACAAACATGTCAAGTATTGATGGTTACGTCCCCTCTCCTATCTGTACAAACATGTCAAGTATTGATGGTTACGTCCCCTCACCTGTCTGTACAAACATGTCAAGTATTGATGGTTACGTCCCCTCTCCTGTCTGTACAAACATGTCAAGTACTGATGGTTACGTCCCCTCACCTGTCTGTACAAACATGTCAAGTATTGATGGTTACTTCCCCTCACCTGTCTGTACAAACATGTCAAGTTTTGATGGTTACGTCCCCTCACCTGTCTGTACAAACATGTCAAGTACTGATGGTTACGTCCCCTCTCCTGAATGTACAAACATGTCAAGTATTGATGGTTACGTCCCCTCACCTGTCTGTACAAACATGTCAAGTACTGATGGTTACGTCCCCTCTCCTGTCTGTACAAACATGTCAAGTATTGATGGTTACGTCCCCTCTCCTGTCTGTACAAACATGTCAAGTACTGATGGTTACGTCCCCTCACCTGTCTGTACAAACATGTCAAGTATTGATGGTTACGTCCCCTCTCCTGTCTGTACAAACACGTCAAGTACTGATGGTTACGTCCCCTCAACCGTCTGTACAAACATGTCAAGTATTGATGGTTACGTCCCCTCACCTGTCTGTACAAACATGTCAAGTATTGATGGTTACGTCCCCTCACCTGTCTGTACAAACATGTCAAGTACTGATGGTTACGTCCCCTCTCCTGTCTGTACAATCATGTCAAGTACTGATGGCTACGTCCCCTCTCCTGTCTGTACAAACACGTCAAGTACTTGTGGCTACGTCCCCTCACCTGTCTGTACAAACATGTCAAGTACTGATGGTTACGTCCCCTCTCCTGTCTGTACAATCATGTCAAGTACTGATGGCTACGTCCCCTCTCCTGTCTGTACAAACATGTCAAGTACTTGTGGCTACGTCCCCTCTCCTGTCTGTACAAACATGGCAAGTGCTAAAACTTCTGTACTATCTTTAATCCTTACCAAGAATGACATGTCCTGATAGTTCACTTATCATTCACATCAGTGCTATTTAATATATGTTCTGTAATTCTCAATTCACAGGGTATGGAGGACTGCTGGACATCTCTCCAAATATGTTAAATGAAGGTAAGAATATTGTATTTGTGCTGTCCATGTGCATCTGTTTAATAGTAGAGGTAGCACGGGTGGCCCAGTGGTTTGTGCATGTCCCTGTACAGTATGACCCTATCCTGTACCTGCCATGGCCTGCTGGGCGTGGGTTCAGATCCTAGATTCGTCCCAACAATGTTCCTTTTCTCTATATTCCCACATTAAGAAGATGTATCACGCCCATGATTTGCTGGAATAGTGTTCAAAGCGGCATTTAAGCAAACTGACTCATTTCTACATCAGTATATTTCCATTCTCATCCAAATACCAGTAGGAGATGTCAGTCATTATGACTGGCTTCAGGCATTATACTGTGTGAACTTTGGAACGTGACTTCATAAAGTGAGCATGTACGGTGTCACCCTTCACATGCAGGCATACTTGTGAAGCGTCTTTAAACACACGCCACATACTTTAACACAGATTATTTGAAGGAGAACAATTTTCTTTTCGTTGTGATATTTTTGTGAAAAAAGCCCAATTAGCCGAGAAATTTGTTCCTGGATCTATTCGAATAAAAGATTCCATATTTTAAACTGCATGACGGTAATTACAACAATAACGATTGTTCGGTTGTATTTGATTTTATCTGTGGTGTCACAACTTTAGTCATTCAAACCACGCCGAGCTTGGTCACAACAGTAGTTTCCGCTGGTGTCACTTGCTTTCGATGAAAATTTGGTGTCGTTTGACTGGCACTGCATGGTGAGGCATAACAAGATTAATCGTCATGTTTTAGCCCGGGCTAGGTTAAAACAAGAATTCCAGTTAGATCCGCTATCTGTCATAGATCTCCTAAAGCCAAGAGATGCAATAGCGAAGGCCAAACTAACTCTATTTCTAAGAGATGGACAGCTACTCGAACGTATATAAACAGCAGCCAAGGATAAAAATGAAATCATATCAATATAAGAAAATAGAAATCATATCAATACAAAAACAGAAATTATGTGAACACCAAACTCACAATAGATATGTGTACCCTACTCACACACAGGAGTCCCAAAGAGGGACAGGTCAGCCGAAATTGCTTAGGCAGAAGGCGACCTCTTAAACATTTAATGCAACAACAACATCCTCATTCAATGTTGCTTGACAACGGTATAAGGATCTATACCGAAACGTCGCCTTTGCAGTATTAAAGAAGTTGTTATCCATACACAGTGTCTACTTTGTCATCCGTCAACTTCTAAGTAATGCCTATCAAACAATTCATAGGGGGTGTTATTTATAGAATGTATCTGTGACTGACAACTTTAACTTCGACACATGCATCTGTACAGTTTGGTAACCTTTGAAAGCAATTGCGGCAACCTAGTTAACATTGTATCCCTCCCCTTTTATCTACTGAACGTTGCCTCCAACATTAACATGTTCAAAGGAACCCATGTTGTTCCGTTGTTTGTATAAAGCACCAGTTCACGTGCGCCAGTGAAAAATATGTGACGTTTCCGGTTATCTAATTTGCATACTTATGTCACTGGGGTATGGGATACACGTCTTTATGTCATGGGCGAATGTCTTCGATAAATGCTGTAAATAAATGACAAATACTATTTGATATACACATGTGGGAGTTAATCATTTTAGACCTTGATAAGGAATAACCTCACATGAAGGGTTGTCTCTTGAATAGCGCAGACACTAAACACTGTTTGACTATACTTACTTTACATGAATACCCGAAATAAACCTAACGTAATTGTTTTCTGAATGTATTGTCAATTAATATTCATATAAATGCCATTCTTTCAGTAGCACTGTCAATGAAGTTTGACCCCCACAATCACTTAATATTTTTACCATTGGCTGTCATTATTTAGTTTGTCAAACAGTACGACCTGCGCTGTTCAATATGTGAATCTGCCATGAGAAAACATTTAAAAGTACTACTAAAGACACACTCCTTCTTTCAGAACGCTGCTACCCGAAAACGTCTTCGTCCCTGAATTACCGCACTCAACCAGAGACAGGGTTGTGGAAGTTCTGCCTGCAGACAGTGGTTGGAACCGGTTTTACAGAAACTCCTATCACAGAGATCAGATGGAATCCTATTGGTGACTGCGCAAGCACGTGTACCTCATTGCCCGGATGTATGACATTTGCCATTAATCAGTATGGCCGATGCTTTACAACTAGATGGTGCCCCGGTTACTTTGATATTAATTACTCTGTGTATGAAATGAACAACGTGACTGAGCGATGTTTTCCAGCGGAGTATCTACCCGCTTCACCCGTCCTCGGTAGGGGAAATACCCGTCCTCGGTAGGGGATATACACAGTATACACGCATGCTTCATAACAAGGACTAATATCAATACTTCTTGTTCTTAATTAAAATTCAACATGCTCTTTTCCACAATAGAAATTCATTGAACTAAATACTTTATTGTTATTCTTCACACGACATACTTGTATTTGTGTTACCTTGATCAATAAAATGTCATCAAGATATTCAGTTTCTAATTTAAACATGTTTCATTCACAAGGGAAAGGATCTGACAGACGTTTTCACAAATGAGGTAGCCATCTCTCAAAGTAATTACATGATTAGCGTTATATAATCACACAGATGAGAGATGTACCAAAGACAGAGTACTTACACTTACACACAGAGATAATCAGCAGGAAACAAAGTTTACATTTACTTGAAAATATACGTGCATTTGATATACTTGTGAACAGAGAGAAACAACTGTTCATTTTCGTTGTAGCTGAGATGGGAGATCCCATTTAACAATATTGACATATCAGAGACTAAATTTAGCTAAATTATTACATATTTCAGTTATGCTATTTGATGATTTTTCTTGCAGTTTGATAAATTGACATTCTATTAAGTAATTATAAACGTTTTTACGTGGAGAACAACATAGACACTTAAGATTGCCTTTTAAACCAATTGTAAATAATCACAATTTAACTGCATGCGATGCTTAATTCTTGTAAGCCGTATAGTGTACTTCCTAAAAACACAGGAACAACAGGGAAGAGCAGATTTAGGATGTTATTTTAGTTGTGGAATCGACAGAGCTCAGATACTCGAGATTTCAGTTATGCTATTAAACATGATTTTTGTTGCAGTTTTATGCGATGGACATTCTATATAGTAATGATAAACGTTTTCATACGGAGAACTACAGAGACAGTTAAGACTATTTTTCTATTTGACCAACTGTATATATATAGGTCATAATTTACGTGAGTGCATCAGTAGTTTAATTCTGTAAACAATATATTGTACTTAATTAAATCACAAGGAAATAAGAATGACCACTATTTTGTTATTTATGGTTGGTTGGCTGGTTGGTTTGTTGTTTAACGCCGACCTCAGCAATAATCCAGTTATATGGCGTCGGTTTTGGTTTTAAAAGAGCATAGGTACTGGAGTCTCTCATTGATAGGGATACATGATTCCATAAATTGACAGTGAACGGAAAAAAGATGACTAAATAAGTGTGTTATTCTCAATGGTATTGATATATCTGGTGCATTTCTAAAGCAGGACATAATTACCCTTTTCATGAACACCTGGTGTCATCACTGATTTTCAGTGATCCATTCATATAGTTTTCCCAGCTATTTTGCCCTTTACGTCCAATGGAATCTGTTTCGGCGGATAATTAACACTGGTTATTCTTGCATTGACGTTTTATATTAACTTAACTTAACGCAGATATTGCATCAACTGTATTTGGTAAAAGTTCTCACAAGTTGGAAGGAGTTACATCATTGTTAATTTATTGCGATAGTTTCTTCTTTCTGCAGGTGTATTCAAACCAGTTTCAAAATAGAGAGCATCTCTGGGAAAATATTCATTAACCCGGTAACTATACGAGCTACCTCTGTTTTCCAGTAGACCGCCTCCGTGGTCTAGTGAAAGAGCGTTCGCCCGGAGAGCGGAAGGTCCGGGGTTCGATCCCCGACCGCGTCATACCAAAAGATGGTACTTGTTGTTACCCTGTCTGGCGCTCGGCATTAAGGGGCTAAAACAAGGACTGGTCGGCTTGGAGTCAGTATACTGTGTCTGAGTGGGGTATTCATGTTAAACTGCGGCATGGTATCTCAGTAAGCTAGCACTGTAAATCGGCATCAGTCCGGACAAGTACAAGCAGCCACACAAACACACACACGTACATGCACGTCGCTATATAAGTGCAATAATCTTGGACGCGACGTTAAACCCCATTTCACCTCACCTCACCTCTGTTTTCCAGTCTTTCCTTTAATTTTTCTAATGAGCAACCATCCCATGCCTGACAAGCACATTCAAGGTGAAGACTTGTGAAAATGGTATATACTATAGTATAAAGTTTTAAATGTCTTATTTAACATATATCTTAATTTTGGCATTGAATTGATTTTTTTTTGCATCAGAATAATTATATGAATCGATCATTTACCATCCTTTCAGCACTTATAGTTCGTATTTCTATAGAATCACATATGAATCTCAAATTTGAATTAGCTTGTTTGAGAGTAAACGATATTACTTCTGTTCAGTCGGGATTGTATGATATGAGTCAAGTTTTAGCCCTCGTTTATGTAATCAAAGTATTCAGTTACCAAACTGTGACAGGAGTACATGTCTTTCACTTTAATTAGAATAAAACACGATTTATCATAAAAATGCCTATCATGTCATTTCTTTACTTGCAACAAGACTATAATTATTTCAAGAGGGGTGCAACACCCAAGGCCTTACTAAAGATTTCAAAAGGTTTCATAATTATGTAAAGGGTTTTGTCGCTTTCTTCTTCATAGGTCAGTTATGGAAATTAAGAATTATAAGTCATAATACAGATGTTGAACTTTACTGAACTGATGGATTATGAATTTGAAACAATAGAACAAGGGGATTTCAAAATACACGTAATCATGATTACAGAGGAAAAGTCAACTATGCCTTAGCTGTATAGCAAATAAACCTGAAGAGATTATTTGGCAAAATAGATCAGAAATACTCCAAACCAAATACATCGTGACTGAGCAGTGGTCCCTGGTAGACAACCAACCCGCTTTAACCACGCCCGACCGGGGTCTCCTGTGACAAAGAGTGAGTGAGTGAAATGTTCTTCACATATATATGTCTGTAACTATGACACATTGGCATGTTAATAACTTGCGTGCTATTATGTTTTCTACAAAATATTTTGAAAACAAATGCAGTTCTTCTTTGCCAACGACTATTCCATTTATGATTATTCTCGGAGACCCGTGAAGTTCCGGGTACATAGGTCTTCAGCAACCCATGCTTGCCATAAAAGGCGACTATGCTTGTCGTAAGAGGCGACTAACGGGATCAGGTGGTAAGGCTCGCTGACTTGGTTGATGCATGTCATAAATCCCAATTGCATGGATTTATGCTCATGATATCAATCACTGGATTGTCTGGTCCAGACTCAATTATTTACGGACCGCCGTCCTATAGCTGGAATAATGCTGAGTGCGGCGTTAAACAACAAACCAACCAAACCAAGATTATGAAATGAGAAACGTCACTGATCGATGTTGACCCAGTATTTCTCAGTGCGACAACACCCCTAAGGTAACATACACTTATACGTTCTACAGCCCGTGAAACACTTCTTGTCATACAATCAATGTTTGTTTCCACAAGAGAACCTACACTTTCCTACACAATCAGACATGTTATATTTGTATTGCATTGATCAATAAGCCCTATCAACAACACATCGATCTTAAGTTACCACGGTTCATCGCCAATTGGTTTACTTCTTGTGAACATTTACACAAATCTACCCAGTTTGCCTTTAGGCCCAATGGAATCTGTTTCGACGAATGGTCGATGTCGGTGGTGCTCTGGCGTCGACGTTTTCTATTCAAGTAAAGTAGTCTTCCCCATGTGAGCCACTAATTAGCATAAGTCGTTGGGGAATTACTGGTCTTTGATTGTGCTTGCCAAAAAAGGCGACTATGGTTGTCGTAGGAGGCGACTAATGGCAGCGAGTGGCTAGGCTCGCAGACTTGGTTGGTACATGTCATCATATCCCAATTACGTTGATCCATGCTCATGATGTCAATCACTGGATTCCATTGTCCAGACTCCAGACTTAATTACAGGCCACTGTCATATTAGCTGGATCCTAACAAAATCAATAAACAATTATACTGAACACATTATATTGAAATACACGGGATTACGTTTGCAGTCATACATCAATACAATGGGTCGAAATATACTCTTTAAAAAAAGAAACGCAAAGCCAGATTTGTGTGAGGTAGGAAAATACATGTATACGAGGAACCGTACGAGGTATTGAGGCAGAATATTATGGAGAGAACACTTGGTGATTGTAGTCATCTCAGTTATCGATACATAGGAAAAGGTTAGCGTATGTCCCCCGTTGAAATCGAAAACGGCCTGACATCTCCTGCCCATGGAAGAGACGAGTATGCGAATCACATCCTGGGGAATGGTAGCCCACTTGGCCTGCAACGCAAATGCCAACTGCTGCAACGTCTGGGGTTGTGGTTGACGTCGGCGTAGCCCTCTACCAAATTATCCTACAGGTGCTCTATCGGGTTCAAATCCGGGGATCTGGAGGGCCAGGGGAGAACTTAAACGTTGTTGTTGTGGACACAGGCTCTTGTGATCCGTGCTGTATGCGGTCGAGCGTTGTCCTGCTGGAATACACCATTGCCGTTGGCTGCAATTGGGAGGACGTGTGGTAGGAGAATTTCGTTGATGTATCGTTGTGCGGTAAGATTGCCCTGGATATGGACCAGACCTGTTCTGCCATGAAGAGAAATATCCGCCCACATTATAACACTACCCCCATCAAACCTGTTCACTTCCTGTACGCAGTACCCGGCGTAACGTTCTCCCCGTCGTCTGTTGACCCGTGTTCTTCCGTCCCCTCGACTGTGGAGAATCTTGATTCGTTGCTGAGCTAGACATCTCTCCATCGCAGTTGAGACCATACCCTGTGTTGTCGACACCAATGCAGTCGTTGTTGATGATGTTGTCGACTCAATTGTCGAACAGGACGTCTTGCTCGTAGACCTGTTGCTTTTAAACGGTTTGGTACGTTCTGGTCGGTGTTCCTTTCACGTAGTTGCGCAGTCGGATGTAGCTATCATGGGCGGGGGTGGTTACTCTCGGTCGTCCCGACCTTGGCCAATCACATGTTGACCCATGCTATTAAAACCGACCCAATAGCCTTCTGATGGCGCTGGGCGCGACATTGAAAACCCTGACTACAGCTGATCGGGATTCCCCTGACTACAAACGGCCTATGACGTTGTTTCTTTGCACCTCTGTTAATCTTGGCATGTTGTTGAGCTGTCACTGTTCGATTGACGCATATGCCAGGCAACCAAAACCGATAGCAACCAATAGCGTTCATAGTGCTGCTGCACGTGCAGTACGT